CTGGCTTTTAACACACTATGACCCAAGCGTTTTGGTCTTATTTGAATTAGTTTAGTTATTGTTTTAATTCTTTTACTGTCCTATTATTGTTTTTTATTGTTATTATTGTATTACATTGTTGCTTTTTAATACCATTTTATATTGTTGAGCACTTTGTGCTGTTTGGCTGTTTGAAATGTGCTATATAAATAAACTTGACCTTGAAAAATTACATTATTGGTTATTATTATTAAATCACTAGTTAGCACTAGCACTCCCCCTATTGATGAGTAACAGACCTATCTTTTTTCACTTCCAGTGGTGTCCATCGAGGACCCGTTTGACCAGGATGACTGGGAGGCCTGGTCCCGCCTGACGGCCCAGGTGGGGATCCAGGTTGTTGGGGATGACCTGACGGTGACCAACCCCAAGAGAATAGAGAAAGCTGCCGAGGAGCGAGCCTGCAACTGCCTGCTGCTCAAAGTGAACCAGATCGGCTCCGTCACCGAGGCCATACAGGCGTACGTCTGCTTTGTCCACAGTTCAATGAGAAATCTCAGAGTGGAGACGATTCACATTTTGAAATGAAAGAAATTACAAATTCTTACATATTGGGTCTTTAAAGATGCATAAATTCAATTTGTCACTGACACAGTGTTGTCCTGAAGCTACAGAGTAACCCTCCACCCCCTCAGGCAGGTCCGTGACCTCGAAGCCTCAGATTGGCCGAACAGAGCTTTCAATCTTTGCTGAGGTGACAGAGAGAGGCACAGCTGTCCAGCTGTCAGTCAAAGATGTGGAAATATAGACACACACATACCCAGTGGATGTCGCTATAGTGTCAGTCACATCGGTCATTACCTGTCAGCCATGTTGGCCTTGTTCCATTTATGAAGGACAGGAAGTGACAGAAGATGTTTAGGATAAGGTTCAGCTATTGGTCAGACATACTGCTGACGTGGGTTGGCACTGCTGTGTATATGTTTCTGTACACTTGATGATAAATTTGTGAAGAGTGTGTTTGCTCCAGTCTCGGATGTGTGCATCATCAATAACAGACCAAACTGTCACTCAGGGTTATGAAGCCATCAGTCACAACAGTGTAGCTGGATTAGAGCAGGAGGGGAGGAGGGAGATTAAAT